TATGACAGAGTCAGGGTTAGAATTCAATGTATAACCTGCAATAAAGTCCTGTGTTCAACGTCTTCCCTCAACCTACTTTATAAAAATTGTGGTGTTTGTTGTGTTTTGCTTTTAGTTATCCTAAAAAACGGTGTCATTCTGACTAAACAGAATCTCACCAACAAGGAATCAAAGGGAACTTCCCTAACCTTATAAAGGTTCTCCCCAAACCCCACAGGAAGCATCAAGCTTCCGTGGAGAGACGAACAGGTGTGAGATCTGTGAGGCTCTTCAAGGGAAATCTGAGAACAGGGCGAGGATGCCCACCTCACTGCTAACGGTCAGAGCTGCTTGGGATCCCCGCCAGGACTGTCCGAGTTTATTCTGTGCTCCCTTCCTGCCTGCACGGCTCGTGGGAAGCAGCCAATAAAAGTAAGCTGTTATTACTAAATACTTCAGTTCATGTAATATACTTATGTAACCTTTTAATTAAGCATACTTAGAAGAATTTAATACACACACACACACACACACACACGCCAAAACCGGTTTGGCTCAGTGGATAGAGCGATGGCCTGCAGACTGAAAGGTCCCAGGTTCGATTCCGGTCAAGGGCATGTACCTTGATTGTGGACACATCCCCAGTGGGGGGTGTGCAAGAGGCAGCTGATCAATAATTCTCTCTCATCGATGTTTCTAACTCTCTATCCCTCTCTCTTCCTCTCTGTAAAAAATCAATAAAATATATTAAAACACACACACACAAATGTGTCCTTCCTCACAGGCCAACTGATGGTTTAGAAAGTGTGTGGTGAATTGGGAAACTAACTGGAGAGTCTATGGACGTTTCTGGATGTAGGATCCAGAGCAGGGGCTGAGGAGCCCATGGTAGTGTCCCAAACCCAAGTTCTAAGAAGCAGAGGAGTACAAATCAGAGGCAGAAAGGCCCAGAAAGGAGCTGAGCCCTGGAATGAAGACCACCACGTCTCGCTGCTCTTGTTTGGCATCTGCGCCTGTGACCAGGTGTGGCCCGTGGGTCCCAGTTCTTGGGCACCCTGGTCTCCCTCTCCCACTGTGGACACCACAACCACCATGGACGCTCACCTGACATACGTCTGTAGCTGGCATGTCAGGAGCCTGAGGAATCAGGCATGGATCCGACAGACAGACGCACCCACCGTCGGCACTGCAATACGTAATTGCAGTGAGCTCCAATTCCTACCTAACATGACCATTCTCTGTATCTATAAAGTCAATTTTAGTTGATCTCACCACGAGAGAGAAGCAGTACTGTCATCCACAACTACCAACAATCCCTCATGCCCTTGGTTTGGAATGTATCATGGATCTTCGTAGTGGGAATACCTTCCCAATGCAAGTTTTCTTGCACTGCCCTTAAAATAAGACTTAGTAGGCTGAATATAGATTAATAACAAAAAAAGGAGGACCCGATAATGTGATGGAAGGCCACTTTTTGCCCAATGAGTATCAGTATGTTGGTCAGCCTATACTGAAATACTTGAACTTCAACAACCTCAGGAAGGACGCCAGGCAAAAAGAACACCATTTGCCGAAACCGGTTTGGGTCAGTGTATAGAGCCTCGGCCTGTGGACTGAAAGGTCCTGGGTTCAATTCCGGTCGGGGGCATGTACCTTGGTTGCGGACACATCCCCAGTAGGGAGTGTGCAAGAGGCAACTGATCGATGATTCTCTCATCGATGTTTCTAACTCTCTATCCCTCTCTCTTTCTCTCTGTAAAAAAATAAACTATATATTAAAAAAAAAAAGGACACCATTTATAAGGTTAATATAAACCTGGTAAAGGAAAGTAACCCAGTGGCAGGTGTGAAAGACTTAGATGTCTCCCCTTTGGCCCGGCCCCCGTAGAGAGCCCGCTGAAGGAAGCTCGGAGCCCTCTCTGTTCCTTCTCATTCTTGGGGCAAAGGACTGGGTGGTGACACTGCCATAGGGTTCCTTACACGTGAACTCTAGTCTTCCAGGTCTGTTTCCGTCATAATTCCCAACGCACTGTCCAGTGTGGCGGCCACCAGTCCCATGTCTCCCGAGCCCTTGATCTGCAGGTATGCCGTAAGGGCAAGATGCACACCAGACTTCAAAGACTTTGTACGCTAAAAAGAATATACAATCTGCCGAAACCGGTTTGGCTCAGTGATAGAGCGTCGGTCTGTGAACTGAAAGGTCCCAGGTTCGATTCTGGTCAAGGGCATGTACATTGGTTGTGGGCACATCCCCAATAGGGGGTGTGCAGGAGGCAGCTGGTCAATGTTTCTCTCTCATTGATGTTTCTAGCTATCTCTCTCCCTTCCTCCTCTCTGTAAAACATCAATAAAATATATTTTAAAAACAAACAAACAAAAAAACCTTTAAAAAATATATACAATCTCCTTCATAATTTTTACATTGATTACTGTTGACATAATCTTTTTTATGAGCCAAGTAAAATGTCTTACTAAAATTAATTTCAGCCCTAACCGGTTTGGTTCAGTGGCTAGAGCACAGGCCTGCGGACTTAAGGGTCCCAGATTCGATTCCAGTCCAGGGCATGTGCCTTGGATGCGGACACCTATCCTACTGTGCAGGAGGCAGTTGATTCATGTGTCTCTCTTATCGATGTTTCTAACTCTATCCCTCTCTTTTCCTCTCTGTGAAAAATCAATAAAATACTTTTAAAAATTTAATTTCACCTGGTTATTTTCATTCCTTTAACCGTGGCTACTAGGAACTTTTAAATTACGTATGTGGCTCACTGGCAGCTCACGTTGCATATTCCCTGGACAGTGCTGATTTAGAGAGACAAACGGTATTCTAAATTATGTGTGTGTGTGTGTGTGTGTGTGTGTGTATATATATATATATATATATATATGCCTAAGTGACTGGCCTACCCGCCATTAGCTATGATGTGCCATGACCACCAGGGGGCAGATGCTCAATGCAGGAACTTCCGAGTGATAGCAACTTTTCAGTTTCCTCTAACACTCTGGGACCCCTCAGGGGGTGTCAGACTCCCAGTTTTGGTCTAAATCCCACAGGCCAGGCCAAGGGACCTCACCTGCCAGAGGGATCCCACTCACTCCCCAAGACGCCCTTCAAGCCCCAGCACTACCACAGGTGTGGCCGGCCGCGGTGGGACTGTGGGAGATTGGCTCCAGGGTGTGTCCACCCAACTCACCCAGTCCCGCCCCCCTGGCTCCTTCTAATTAATTTCCACTCAATGTGCATGAATCCGTGCACCAGGCCTCTAGTGAATATATAATATGCAACATCTTAGACAAGCATGTCGTTTAAATGAACGAGGCATGAGGCCCGCCAGCTGTGAGTTTGACATGCTTGAAAAACATTTGTCAATATGGTCATAAGACCCTTTGTGCGTCGTTGGATGGCCAAGTCCTACGGAGGCAGGTCTAATACTATAATAATAATATAAAAGAGGCATCTTTTACTGAGCTCCAACTTTTGGCAGGGATACTGCTAAGTGCTTTCAGTAGATTATCTATAATCCTCCCAACAGGGAAAAATAATTCGGACCAGAGAGACTAAGTAGTTTGTCCCAGCTCACACAGGAAGTGCTAGAGCCAGGCTCTGATGGAGGTCTGTCTAAGGCCAAGGCCTGTGCCCCGTGGTACTCAAGGAGAGAAATGGGGAGAGGCCTGCTTGGAAGTGACCTTCCCTTGTGAAGTGGTTGCTATCCACTTGGGCAGGGACCACCCAAGCCATACATCCGTCATTAAGGAGGTGCTCCCAAGACCAGGCTGGTGATCACCGGAGGGAAGGGGGCCAGGGGACTCAGTGAAAGAGGGGAAGAAAGTGAGAAGTGCAGATTGGTAGTTACAAAATAGTCGCAGGGAGTATGATGCTAAGTGAGAGAAGCCAGTCAGAGAAAGACCAATACTGTATGATTTCACTTACGTATGGAACCTAACGAACATAATAAACAAACAAACAAAATAGAAGCAGACTCATAGACACAGAATAATCAGGGTGTAACGTACACCATAGGGAATACAGCCAATCATACTGTGGTAACTCTGTATGGTACTGGATGCATACTGAAAATATCAGGGGGCCAGTTTGTAAAATATACGATTATCCAACCACTCTGCTGTACACTGGAGACCAATACAAAGTAATACTGTAATACTCAAAGCAGCATGTAATTGAAAATTTAGACCAATTTTTTTAACAATTAAGAAGGTGCTCTATTCTGCTCTGGACTCGTGGAGTGGACAGACAGTTTGAAACACAGCACGCCTCCCGAATCTGCCTGGGGCCCGCTGCTCACCCTGCTCCGCCCAGGAGTGGGCCAGGAGTGGCACGCCCGGGAGGGGTGGCCAGCAAAGCCCGCCCGAGACAGCAGGGCAATGGCGCCAGGTGAGGGGGCACCACCCAGGAGACAAGCCCCCTGTGTACCCCCAGCCCGGCCTCACCTCCTGACCCCATGCACTCTTGGGAAATGCCTCAGTCACAACAGCACTAATGGGTGGGAAGCTCTGGGACCCTGGGGAGGACACAGCCTACAGCCAAAGGGGCCAGGACACGGCGACAGAGAGAAGAGGCTCGCCAGAGAGCCGAGACCCACTGCCAACGGGCAGTCTCTCAACCCTGAAATACCCCGAAATATGCCCTGCCACCGAGCTTGGGAAGAATCGGGCATGCAAGCTCCGGCACCTTCGTCCCCCTCCTCCCCAGCACGCTCCTCCCGACCAAGTGATGGGAGTCTACACACATCTGCTCGGCCCGCCACGAGTGCCCACGAAAAGCAACTGCCTCCCTGCAGCAGTTGGAATGTAAGTGCAGGTGGGGGTGCTGGGGGGTGCTGCGGGGTGCTGGGGGGTGGGGAGAGCTGGCCAGAAAAGAAACACACACACGCAGAGAAAGCACAGTGGCATGCAGACATGGACCTGGGCGTCTCTGAGTGGCTCGGACGGGACCCTGTGCCACCTCTGCTTTGAGCCGGGGCCTGTGCCCAGAGCGGCTCAGCTCGCCATGGGGCACTTACGTAATCCTCCTCGCTGAGGCCCTGTTTCTCCACAGAACTCTTCACCTCCATGGAGAACTTCTCAAACTCGGGCTTCACCGTCCGCAGCAGAGTGACCGTTTGGAGGGACGAGTACGCCTGCTTAGCTTCAAAGTCGTGCTTGTCCCCTCTCCTCCAGGAGCCGTCTCCTGCGGGGGGAACGGAAATGTTGACCTCCCCAGCCGGTCGCCTTGGAGGCCTTCTCCCTTCCCGGCTGCCGGGCGCCTCTGCGCAGGAGGCGCGGTCCTGGCCTTGCTCTTGGGCAGCACCTGACACGGAGCGTCAGGATCCTCAGAGAAGGAGGCCCTTCGGGAGGAGTGTGTTCCTTTGAAACGTGAGAGAGAGCAAAGCTCTGTGGCCTCAACTGCTTTATCATCACCAGGAAATCGTACATTTTAGTCTCCAAGAACTGCAAGATGGGAGGTGTAAGAAGGGAGATTCGCCCGGCCGGCGTGGCTCAGGGAGTGAGCATCCACCTATGAACCAGGAGGTCAGGGTTCGACTCCCGGTCAGACCACAGGCCCGGGTGGCCGGCTCCATCCCCAGTGTGGGGTGTGCAGGAGGCAGCCTGTCAGTGATTCTCTCTCATCACTGACGTTTCTCTTTCTCTCACACGCCCTCTCCCTTCCTCTCGGAAATCAATATAAAACACATTTTTTTAAGAGCAGTAAGTTTCACTCCTCATTCCCACTCAGCTTTTAATCGCTACAATCAACTGGGGGGGGTCAGCCAAGCTGCTGCTTGGGTGCTATCAGCCAGGCGTGAGGCAGAGGGGTGGCAGGAATGGCTCCGTGTGACGACGGGTGCAAAGGGTGGGAGAGGTGGCACTGCTACGACGGAAAAGTTTCAGATCACCAATCGTTCTTGAAGTATTTTTGGAACCTCTTCAGAGTGAGAGGTCGTTCAGGTGAGTGTGAGGGCTTGCATCTCTAGCACTGGCAACATCATCACATTATTTCTGGGACAGTGTTCGCTGTGAAATGAGAGCTGCTAACATGTACAGATCTGTACTAATAAAAGCCTATGTGGTCGTCAGGCCCTCCCACTGTGATGCCCTCACGCCCTCACAATCCACCACCAGGAAGCTGTGTGCTCAGCGGGCACAGGAGGGTGGGTGGGGACCTGCAGCTGCGTGCTCGCCGCAGACTGGCGGCTTCGTGCAGCGATGCCAGGGGTGGGGGCCCTGGCTCCGGCCTACCTCTTTGGGGCAGTCCGTTGAGGAGCCCCAGATGGGTGGGTGGGACCTACCTCTTTGAGGAGATCGATCTTGGGGCTCCCACACTGTTAGAGGGCACAGGCCAGGCTGGGGAACCACCCCCCAAGTGCACGAATTCCGTGCACTGGGCCTCTCATTTATAATAATAATCTCTCATTATTGAGCACTTTATAGTTAGAAACTCACTGCATCCTCACAAGACCCAGGGTGTGGGTACAATGATCGTCTCGATTTCACAGATGAGGAAATCGAGGCACAAAAAGCTGGGTGCCCCACTGCCTCCCAGCTCTCCCTTCACAAAAGCAAAGGCAAATGACGCGGGTAAAAACCAGTACTTTCTACAATCTCATTTCTTTAGAAAATGCATGGCCTGCAGGGCCCCAAAAGAAAAGGTGGCCCTGTAGGGTGGGCAGATAAGCTGGTGTTTCTGAGAACCATCCCTGGGATCCCCTGAGATCCGGGAACACCACGGGACTCAACCTCTGGACTCCAACTCCGAAGCCATTTGTTCGCGCTGAGTCCCGGGCCCCTGGCGACGCCAGCAGCCAGCGGCCGAGCGTGAGGGTGGTTCCCGAGAGAGAGGCCGGGCTCCGTGGCCCCCTGTCCACGCTCACGGAAAAGGAGCTGTGGCCTGGGGGTGTCCGTCGCAGCGGAAGCCAGACAAACGTGGGTTCCCTGACCCTGGTCAGAGTCTGAGGGAGCCACCACCGCGGACGTCATAAGTGTCTTGAACAGTCTCCCCCACCCCCGAGAGAAGGATTTACAGACAGGGGGTCACAGCTGAAGGTATTACGGGTGGCAGCTCCCTGGGAAGCAGGAGGGGGGACAGTGCAGCGTGCAGAGGGAGAGGCAGCCAGCTCCAAGGACAGGCAGCGAGGAGGACGGAAGGCTGGCTGGCTGAGCAGAAGGCCCAGGCTCAGGGGCAGACGTGGCAGGCGGCAGCTGCTCGAAGGTAAATAAGACAGGGCCAAGGATGAAATTCATTAAGGGCCGGATCTGTGCTCAGCGAGCACGAGGTTAAATGTCAGGCCACCCAGCAGGACCTGACCACCTCCTCCCTCTCCCCCATCCTCCTCCTCCCCCGGGAGTCTCCCGCACACCAGGAGGCCTCGGCGAGGAGCAGCGGCGATGGCCCTGCTCAGAGGGAGCTCAGAGTGCCCTGGGTGAGACCACCTGGACAGGTGCCCTGGGTGAGACCACCTGCCCTCTGAACTTACTGCCCCAGAGCCTGGCCGTGGGGGAAGCCGTTTCTCAGGGGCATGCAATCAATACTTATTGATCCACTGTCCATTGATTTGCAGTGTCAAGACTCAGCAGGAACGGTGAGTCTTAGGCAGAGAGGGTGGCGGTTGCTCAGCTGGGGGAAGGGCTCTCTCCCGGGATAACCCCCCGGCGCTGAGCTGAGCTGTGCAGCTAGAAAAGGCACAGGGCAATGGAGACAGTAACCCTCTCAGCTCCTACAATGGGGAAAACAGCTTTTATTCTGAAAGACATGAAATCCAGTACGATAAATTTGTCTGCCATCGTCTAAAAATAAACCCTGCAGGTGGCTCAGTAGTTGAGCATCAACCCAGGAACCAGGAGGTCACGGGTTGATTCCTGGTCAGGGCACAGGCCTGGGTGGTGAGCTCAATCTGTCAAGATTTCTCTCACAAAATGTGAGAGAAAGCAAAGCTCTGTGGCCTCTCACATTTCGGTTGTAGAGGGTGGGCAGGAAGCAGATTTTCTCTCCTCACTGATGTTTCTGTCTCTCTCCCCACTTCATCTCTGAAATCAATAAAAAATATATTTAAAAATAAAAGATAATGATTTTGAAGTTTTGTTTTCTAAAAATAAAGAATGGAGACAATAGTGTGTTTAAGCCAAACCAATAGGTGTCTAGTGGCAAACATGCTGACACCAGGACGCCCCGCTGTGGGGTTCTCACTGGATGTGCCAGGGACGCCTCCACGGGGCTGCTGGGCCCCGGGGAGCAGAGGTGGCCTGGCAGGTGGGACACTGGATCCCGCAGACAGCGGGTGCCTCTGGAGGTTTACGGGTGGCACGGGAGATGGCGTGATCAGAACCATGCCTGGGAAATAGCGATGGGTTAGGGTGGGGGACACGGGGGGCTCACAGCCCCAGCCACCAGGCGAGGGGTCCCATGTGGGAAGCCATACCCCCAATTAACCGCGTGTCCGGGCGGCGAGAATCATGGCCAGTTTGTCTTTTTCTTCCCTTGTCTCTCCCTTTCTTTCTTCTGGCGTGTCTTTCTCTGGGTCTCGGAAATGTTCAGTCATAATTATGTACTGCCTTTTTTTTAATCATGAAGACAGGGAGGGTCCTGGGAATGCAGCAGAGGACGCAAGAGGAATCTCAAGACTCCACCGAGGGAGGGAAGGAAGGACAACAGCTAGAGAGGGAGTGAGGGACAACAGCGACAGGCGCGAAACCAGGGATGCGAAGCGGGAGGAGAAGGAGCTGCCGTCAGAGGGAAGAGCGGGGCCAGAGGGAGGAGGCGGATGTGGACATCATAGCGTGTCAGTCAGGGTCACCGTCACCCCCAGGTGACTGACCGCAGAATGCCCGGGGAGGGCTCCTGGCCAGGTGGGGACCGGCAGCCTGGACAGAAAGAGGGGTGAAGGCTGGAGGAATGTGGGTGTCACTCCCCAGGCTGGGGTCAGCACCAGGGCTGACTGTGCTGGCTGAGAGAGTGCAGGGAGCGGGGAGGGGGCTGGCACCAGCACTGGGGGAGGCTGCTTTGGCGGCAGAAGGAGGAGGAGACGGGAGCGCACAGAGAACCAGAAGTGGCTGTGCCACCAGCACGCGGGAAGCGGAGCGTCTGGGAAGAAACGGGGAACGATGCTGACTGCGCTCAGCCGTCACTAGCCACGCGGGTGACTAACCCAGCGGAAATTAATTAAAATTAAATGAAATTTGAAACTTTGTTTTTCCATCGCACTGGCCACAGCCAGTGCCCTCCGGGTCCTCAGAAGACGGGACGTCCCACACAGTCCGGGCGGGGTCGCCCCAACAGCCTCCCGCCCGCCCGAAGGCAGAGCCGCCGCCCTGGCACTAACGAAACCCAGGGGACCACGGCCTCCTCCTCTCTCGAGACTTCGTAAATCCACCCTTTCAGGCGATGTTCCGTCATTCCAATTCCCCCACAGCCTGTGCTGAGTCCTGTCATCACAGAACTCAGCCGATGTGAGAGCTCATCAGGACCAAACAGCCTGTAATCAGTCCCTATGAACACACTGTCAAAACGTTTTTAAAAATCCAATCTCAAGGCAAGGGAGAGGAGAGGGGGGGAGGTAAGAGATCAACCAAAGGCCTTGTGTGGCTGCAAGTGAGCACAACCAATGGACATAGACGGCAGCAGGGGGTGAGGGCATGTGCTGGGGGGTGGGGGCGGACAGGGAGCGGTCACTGGGGAAAAAGGAGACATGTGATACTTGCAACAATAAAAATTAAAATTAAAAAAAAATAAAAAGCAAATCCAGTATCAAGCACTAACTGAAATAGGACCTTTCTATAGAATGTGTGACCCACACATTCCAGTACATGGACATTTCTAGTTTATTCCATCCTACTAAAAATTATCCTCACAGCCCATCCCGGAGGCAGCCTGCAGTGGAAGCGTACGAGGCAGGGTGTGCAGGGCCTGGGTGACACCACCTGGAGATGGGTGCCCTGGGTGAGACCACCTGGGCAGGTGCCCTGGGTGAGACCACCTGGAGACGGGTGCCCTGGATGAGACCACCTGGAGATGAGTGCCCTGGGTGAGACCACCTAGGCAGGTGCCCTGGGTGAGACCACCTGGGCAGGTGTCATGGGTGAGACCACCTGGGCAGGTGCCCTGGGTGAGACCACCTGGAGACGGGTGCCCTGGGTGAGACCACCTGGAGACGGGTGCCCTGGGTGAGACCACCTGGGCAGGTGCCCTGGGTGAGACCACCTGGAGGCAGGTGCCCTGGGTGAGACCACCTGGAGGCAGGTGCCCTGGGTGAGACCACCTGGAGGCAGGTGCCCTGGGTGAGACCACCTGGAGGCAGGTGCCCTGGGTGAGACCACCTGGACAGGTGCCCTGGGTGAGACCACCTGGAGATGGGTGCCCTGGGTGAGACCACCTGCACAGGTGCCCTGGGTGAGACCACCTGGAGACGGGTGCCCTGGGTGAGACCACCTGGACAGGTGCCCTGGGTGAGACCACCTGGAGACGGGTGCCCTGGGTGAGACCACCTGGGCAGGTGCCCTGGGTGAGACCACCTGAAGGCAGGTGCCCTGGGTGAGACCACCTGGGCAGGTGCCCTGGGTGAGACCACCTGGAGGCAGGTGCCCTGGGTGAGACCACCTGGACAGGTGCCCTGGGTGAGACCACCTGGAGGCGGGTGCCCTGGGTGAGACCACCTGGAGGCGGGTGCCCTGGGTGAGACCACCTGGAGGCGGGTGCCCTGGGTGAGACCACCTGGAGACGGGTGCCCTGGGTGAGACCACCTGGAGATGGGTGCCCTGGGTGAGACCACCTGGAGACGGGTGCCCTGGGTGAGACCACCTGGAGGCGGGTGCCCTGGGTGAGACCACCTGGAGACGGGTGCCCTGGGTGAGACCACCTGGAGGCGGGTGCCCTGGGTGAGACCACCTGGAGACGGGTGCCCTGGGTGAGACCACCTGGGCAGGTGCCCTGGGTGAGACCACCTGGGCAGGTGCCCTGGGTGAGACCACCTGGGCAGGTGCCCTGGGTGAGACCACCTGGGCAGGTGCCCTGGGTGAGACCACCTGGAGGCAGAGCCTTGGCATCAGGGCGTGCGGGATCGTCTTTGCTGAGTTCCCAGAGCAGCACAGCTTAAGAACTGAGAAGCCATCACCCTGCTCAGGATCCCGACTCCTCAACCCCTAGCATGAAACCTGCTGGTGGACCCCGTTGTTGGCCCTTCCCGGCCCCCCCCCCCCCCCCCCCCCCGCGAGGAGGCCGTTACCGTAGGAGGAGCTGTTGAAGAGCTCGATGTTGAAGAAGGCGTAGTCCCCGCTGGTCATGCCGTGCCGGTGCGCCGCCAGCATGATGCCCCGGATGGTGTCGCTGCTCGCACACATGATCACCACTGGGAGGAGGAACAACAACGCGCATGAGACCCCTGTCCGGACACCGCGAGGACCCGAGACCCGCGGGGACACGGAGACCCACGGGGGCGGCCGGCAAGCAGCGGGGCAGGCACATCCCCTCCGGGGTCCTCACGCACACATGTAGGTTCAGAGGGGAACCGAGGGGAAGAGCAGTGACGTGACCGTGGAGACATGCAGAGGGTGTCACCGTAACCAAGGATGGAAGCCAACGTCCCGACCCCGGGAAGAGACCCCTGAGCCTCCAATAGAGCCCACCCCGGGCCAACGCCGACCAAGTGGGTGACCTAACCCAACGGGGGAGCAGCCAGGGTGGGGACAGGCTGTAGAAGAGCTGGCCTGTGCGCTTTGAAATGGTCAAGTTCGTGACAAACAAAGACGGGCTGGGGGATGGCCTAGTCCCGTAGTCGGCAAACTCATCCGTCCGCAGAGCCAAATAGCAACAGCACAACGATTGGCATTTCTTTGGAGAGCCACATTTTTTAAACGTAAACTTCTTCTAACGCCACTTCTTCAACACAGACTCGTCCAGGCCGTGGTGTTTTGTGGAAGAGCCACACTCAGGGGCCAGAGAGCCGCCTGTGGCTCGAGAGCCACAGTTTGCCGACCACAGGCCTAGTTGAAAAGACCCAGAGGAGCAGAATGCTCAGGGCCATGTGAGCCCCTGGAGTGGATTCTGGCCCTTTAAGAGGTAATAATAAACGTTTTGCTATAAAGGGCTTTGTTGGGACAACGGGGGAAATCTGAGGACGGTCTGAAAGCCAGCTAACAGCACCGCCGTTGTGCGGGAGGGCTTGTCTGCTCACAGTCGCTGTGGACAGGCAGGAAGGTCCTTTTCCCGAGGAGACGCACTGAGTATTTAGGTGTCAGCAAGATGATGGCTTGTACTTACTCCCAAATAGCTCCTCACAAGTAATGTCTCCGTGTGGGGTGCATGTGTACATGTATGGGGGGGAAGGGCGAGGGAGGGGAGGAGGAGGAGGTTTGGAATGACGGAGTGAAAGCGGCAGAATGTGAACAATTGCCAAAAACCTGGGTGAGGTCTACAGCAGAGATGGTTTTTTATTCATTTCTCACATCTTCTCCCAACGCGCCGTTATTTCAAAATAAAGTTTTACAAAATGCTTCCAATGAGCCGCCAGATTTGCCCAACAGAAGACAGCGAGGAGTGCCAACTGCTTTCTACACTTAACCGCCTGGTAAACACTTTTTCCCGGAAAAGCAAACTTCATGGTTTGGGGGGCCCTTCATGTGGCCAATCAGAGGGCGAGCGAGGGGCCAGCTTCCTGCCGCCTGGACTCTGAACCGGCCGCCCGGCTGTGCCCGCACCTGCAGGGGCAGGTGCCAGAGCCCAGGTCCCGCCCCACTCGCTCATTCAGAGCCACACGGTCAGACGGTCAGACGTGAGGGGCCTCAGGCAGCTCCGGGTCACCGCTGCCTGCTCATAAGAGCACCCACGGACCAGAGCGAGCGGGGCCTGGCTGTTACCCAGCAAACAGTCCTTGTCGCTGGCCCTCGTCCCCATGACGGGGACCGCTGTGTGGGGCGCACCCGGAGGAGGGGAGAGGCCGGAGAGGCCCCCCTCCCCCCCCCCCCCCGTGCTCCAGCTCCCAGCGGGGGGTGCTCCTCACACACGTCCAGGCCCAGCCGGCCGGCCTTGGCCCCCGCGAGGCGGGCCTGTGGGTGTTCCGTGTCCTGTGACCTTCACTGCGTGGGAGGCCATGACTCTGACATTCCGTGTGCGCCTGCCAGCTCCGGGGACCGTGTCCCCGGACAACACGGAGCTCGGAGAGCGCCGCCTCTGTGCGCGGAGGAGTTGTCTGTGCCAGGAACACGCCGACACGCTCAGGGAACATACAGCTTCCCGGGGGAACACGCCGACACGCTCAGGGAACATACAGCTTCCCGGGGAACACGCCGACACGCTCAGGGAACATACAGCTTCCCGGGGGAACATGCCGACACGCTCAGGGAACATACAGCTTCCCGGGGGAACACGCCGACACGCTCAGGGAACATACAGCTTCCCGGGGGAACACGCCGACACGCTCAGGGAACATACAGCTTCCCGGGGAACACGCCGACACGCTCAGGGAACATACAGCTTCCCGGGGGAACACGCCGACACGCTCAGGGAACATACAGCTTCCCGGGGGAACACGCTGACACGCTCAGGGAACATACAGATTCCCAGGGGAACACGCTGACACGCTCAGGGAACATACAGATTCCCAGGGGAACACGCTGACACGCTCAGGGAACATACAGATTCCCGGGGGCCTCCGACAGGGGTGTCTGAGGAAACACCTCGTCACTCAGTATGCTTCAGAGCTTTGTCTCAGCCCCGATTCCTTCTAGCCCCCGAAATTAAAGGAGAGCGAAGGCGTCCCACAAAACAGCCAGGAAGGGGCTAAAGGTGGACACGTGTGAGGAGCATGGCCTCCCAGAGGGGGCGCCCGGAAGGGCCCAGGAGGCTCGGACCAGCGCTCTGCCCCAGCCCGCATCGCTTTCCGGTCATTACTGAGTCCCCCGCCCGCCTCTCCCTCCCGGACGCACCTCCTCCTGCCAGCACATAGCGGAGGAGGAGGGAGCCCTGGTCACCTAACCCAGACATTCTCAGGTGCTCTGACAGGCAGGCGGCTGAGGCTCCGTGAGGACCAAAGCACATGAACATGTGTGTGTCGACAGGCACCCAGGCATGCTGACTGGGGAGTGCATGAGGATGAACTCAGAAGCAGTCACTCCGTTGGATGATTCAGCATCGGGCCTTGATGACCGTACGTGTCTCTAAGAGACATCTACCGGCCCAGGACCGAACAGGCGCAGAAGCTTCCTAAGCCCTGGCTGGGACCTGCCGGGCCCTGGCCTCCCTGTGGCTTCTTCGTCTATTTTTACGGTCCTGGCCCATCCGCGGCTCTCCGTCCCCAGCAGCATCCAGACCCATTCCTTCGGGCAGACATTCTTCCGTTAAATGTCAGCGCCTCCGGGGCCCGAGCAGGAGTGACCTCAGTGGCACTGCGGCTCTGAGCACACTTTATTTTAGGGCTCCCCCGTGTGTGCTGACCATGCGGCTTAGCTCTCAGCGGGAAGCCTGAGCTGCCACGTTCAGGGCAGGGTATTACGCTTCCTGCATAGAAGCGATGACTCGGTTTAAGTTGGAGCAAGGACTTCGAGATGCTGGCAGAGCGGAGAACCCGTCTAGGTTTGGAGGATGAGCCCTAATCCCGTAGGGTTGTTTCATTCCAGCCTCGTTCAACAGCAGGTATTTTTAGTAGCCTGCCTTTTATAGAGTCTATCAGAAGATTAAAATAGTTCTCATTAAAATGGCGTTCTCCTCCTGCTCATGTTTCATCAGTTTGCATAACTCACCCAACTCCATGCTCCAGTTACCAAGCACAGCGGGCACGAACAGATTGGGGGACAGCTCCCGGGAAGTCTCGGGACCAGTATGGGAGGCCCGCAGGCTCCCTGCCGGCGCTCACCGGCGGCAAGCAATGACGTTTACAGTAGGGGGCATGCAAGAGGCAGCCGATGGATGGTTCTCATCATTGATGTTTCTATCTCTCTCTCCCTCTCCCTTCCTCTCTGAAATCAATAAAAATATATTTACTTTTTTTTAAAGAAATCTTCCCAGAACTAAAAGACATGAGTTTCTGGATTGAAGAGGCCTACCCTTCAATACCCTCAAGGGCATAAGGCAAAATACTGGTGTAGAAACCTACCATGATGGGATCTAAAAACATTGGGAGCAACAAAAATAGTCCAAAAAATTCCAGGACAAAAAACAAAACAAAAACACAACATTCTATTGATAAAGAAGCAGAATCAATCCCAGCTTCCTAATAGCAATGCTGGGATCTATAAGACAATCCGTCCAATTTTGAGGGGAAATAATTTCACATCTAGAATTCTGTAAATACATATGATGGTAAGATGAAGAAATTTTCTGTCATGAAATGTCTCAAACTTTAGCTCTCATTCATCCTTTCTGAGAAAGCTCCTTGGGGATGTGTTCCACTAAAACAAGAATATGAACCAAGAAAGAACACAGAGGGACCTAAGCGGGGGGGGGGGGGGGGGGGGGGGATGGAAGTTTCTGGAGGATGTTGAAGAAAGAACCCAGAGTTACAACTGTGTGAAGAAAGAACCCAGAGTTACAACTGTGTAGCATGTTTAGAAAATGACTAAACTGGAGCAGCTCAGGAGACTTAAAGTATAAAATCGGTAGATGATTTAGTAATTCCATAGGAAACTAAGCAGACAAACGAAAACAGACTTTTTTCTAACTCCGAGGAAAACAAGTAGGGCAAGAAAGGAAATATCGTGGTAGCCTGTATGGCTCGGCTACAAATAACTTTTAGAAGGTGATAATAATAATGTTGACACAAAATACTACTAAGCTAACCAAAAATTATAATGCAATCATCTTGAAGGAAAACTGGGAGGAAAACCTGAGTGTGTGGTTAATAGGGAGCAGAAGAGAACTAAGCCAGCATCTTCCAGTGGGATGGTAAGAGAGTAAAGCCTAGAACTGAAAAAATCAAAAGTAACAGGGGATTCAGAGGTAGGAGGTCCAATACCTACAGAAACAGCTCCAGTGAATGCCTGAGCCTGGACAAAGGCCCTGCAAATCAAACCCCACTGAGCCCAGTTAACCCATTAACTGCTTATGGCTGTCGGCTCAAATTAGCACAGTATGCTTTATATATAGATAGATATCTATTTTATTATAGATATATATCTCTTAGTTTTTCTTTCTGCAGTATAGCATAGAGCCAAATGAAATCTTAGTCATATTCATATTTGAGATGGTGGAATTGTCAGTTTTCACCTTTCAAAAGATTCAGATATTTGTATCTGATTTTGAAGACGAACTTAAGTCCAAAAGAAGTGCTAAGATGGCCTCTGGGCAGTGAGAAATGGGGAGAAGGGGACAGGGAAGTCTGGTGCTAATGACACCTGGAGTTTTCTGACTTTTTAACCAAATAGCTCTATAACTCTCATAAAAATAGCTTATGTTTTTAAGAAAAGTGATTTCTCCCTGGCTGAGCCTACACTACACAGCAATGGGTTCTGTTTGCAAAACAGAGGCTGTGCCTTTATTTTTGTTGTTCACGAAGCTCCCTGTACTCAAAGGCTTTCGGCATTTGCCCAGGGCAGCCCACAGTGCTTCTGTCCCCCGCTGTGGGTCAGTTATTTCCCTTATCATGGGTTCTTTGCTTAAAAATTCTGCTGATCAACCACTTGGTCATTTCCCCCAGCCTAATTCTAAAAATAAATGACTCTCTACTGATTAAACGCTATCTCTACAGTGGTCTTGCAGACCCAGCGTAATGACACATTATTAATTAGAGGCTCGATGCATGAAATTTGTACGGGGGGCAGGCGGGGCAGGGGTCCCTCAGCCCAACCTGCACCCCCTCGAAATCCGAGACCCCTCAGGGGATGTCCGACTGCCAGTTTAGGCCCGACCCCCACGTGGCAGTCGGACATCCCTCTCGAAGTCCAGCACTGCTGGCTCCTGTTGCCCGCCTGCCTGATCGCTCCCAACCACTTGCCTGCCTGCCTGATTGCCCCTAACTGCCTCTGTCTTGGCCCCCATTGCGGTGGCTTCATCCAGAAGGACATCCGGAATGACATCCAGAAGGTCATTCAGCTGTCTGGTCTAATTAGCATATAATGCTTTTATCATTGTAGATAATAATAAAAAAATAACTAGATAAAATATTTTTTTAAAAAACTAAATAAATATAAAGAAAAACTTTCTACAATACAGCATATAGCCAAATGAAACTTTAGTCGTATTAGTATTTGAGATAGTGGCATTGTCAATTTTAAAAGATTCAAATATTTGTATCTGATTTTGAAGATGAACTTAGGTCCAAAAAAAAAGTGCTAAAATGTGATCTCCAAAGGTGGGGGGGGAGGGGGACTCTCTAGCTCTGTGATGTTTAATGCAGAATTTCCCAAGACAAAAACACAGCCTGCTACAGGACCACCCTCCGCCCTGTGAGGGCCTGATTCCCGGCCAGCTCCCCAGTTCACCGAGAGGAAGTGAGCGCCCAGGGGAGCGGAGCACCTGTTTCGCACCCCAGGCTCCCTCCCCAGGCTCGCCTTCCAATGGAAGTGACTATCATCGTATGCGCAAACAGATAACCGCTGGAATAAAACTCCGGGCGCTGTTTCAGCCTGTTCCCTGTGTTAGCTCCTTTAATCCTCCAGCAGCCTTAAGGTGGGGGCGCCTGAGGAACCTGAGCTTTAGTAGCAACCCCAGAACTTCCTCTCCAGTGAATGCTGAGCCTGGACAAAGGCTCTGACAATCAGCCCCCACTGAACCCAGTTAACCCATTTACTGCTTGCCGGGAAGTAATGGCCAAAGGGGAAAGATCCCCAGAGAGAGCTTTGCCATCAGGATCCTTTCCCTCCTGAGGGCAGGGAATTTCGGGGAGAGGGGGAGAAACGGTTCTATAGTTCTGACATCTGCCTGATCACTGTTGGAAACACACTTTAGAGCAGGAACGGTGCCCTCTGCCACCTGTGCAATGCACAGGGCAGCCAAGCAACTTCCACCGCGCCATCAGATTTAGACGGAGAGGAGCAGGCACTGGGTGCATGGGCGAGGCTTCTGGACTGAAAAGCTGATCAGCAGCAAAAGGCTGAAGTTCAACCGTCTGAAGCCCCCGGTCCCCCAGAGCACTGTTGCCCTCCCTGCTCCCTGGGCTCAATCAGCCACCCCTTGGGAGGCTTGGGTGGGGGGCGGCCTGGCCAAGACCTGCCCTGATCTGGAATGACAGGTCCCTGGGCCGGAATTCCAGGCCACTTGCTCGGGGACCTTCAGAGCAGATCTTGAGGTTTGGGGGACACACACACACACCCCCAGCTGGCCCTGGGACGTCTCCAAGTCCTAGCACCCGGGCTGAGACGCGGGCTCCGGGGCCAGAGCAGCCAGGTCTGCAGGAGCCCGCAGCACCTGAGCCTGGAGTGAGGGCAGATGCGGCCCGCAGACAAGCACCTTGTTCACCACCAGCGGGCCGGCGCCCGCCCGCCTGGCAGGGATTCTGCGCAGACCCGCCCGGTGTTCCAGAGCTCAGGACTCGGCTGCTGTCAGCGCCCCCACCGTCACCGTCAGCGCCCCCAGGCCTCGCTCCCCGCGCCCCCGCGGGCGGAGCGGGCACCTCGGACGGGGCGGGGCCGCTGCCTCCTCCCAGGCGCCCCGCCCGCTCTCACCGGCCGCCAGTCCCTCCGGCTCCGCAGCCGCGCCCCGGCCGCCCTGCACCTGGCTCAGCCTGTCCCCCGGCCCCGGGGCGGGAGGTCCTGGGGAGCCGGGCTGGGGTTGCACCCCCCTTACAATCCAGGCGCGGGCGGGGGGGGACCAGAGGCGAGATCCCTCCAGCTCTGTGCACCCCAAACCTGCCACCGGCGGGGAGGGCACCGCGCGCGGCTGCCTCTGGACCCGCCGTTCCCCGCCCGCTGCTCTGCGGTTAACGGGCCACACGGGCGCCGTAGCGATTACGGATCCGCGACCACCGGCTTCTCCTCCCGCCCCTGCGGCCGTGCCTCAGCCACCCCGGCCCCCAGACCGCGGGGAACGTGGGGAGCAGGTGGGGAGGGACCCCAGCCCGCTCCTCCCGCGCGCTCCTCCCAAGCGGCCCTCCCGGCGCTGGAGACCGGGTGCCGGGCGCGCCTGGAGCGGGCCGCCGGGCCGGACACCGCGGGCATTTTTGGTGGAAACCCAGACGCTCGTTTATAAGAGGCTGGAGGGGCGGCGGGAGGACCGAGAAGGGCGATAAAGGAACCTCGAAGAGAAAGGGGGGGTCTGCGGAGGGAGCCGCCTGGGGACCCCCGAGACCCGCGCTGGGAGCCGAGAGGGGCGCGCGCTCCCCAGGAGGGGCTCCCGCCCCGGGGGGTGGGGGGCGCACATCGGGGAAGGGCTGGGCAGGTCCTGGGGCCTCACAAGCTTTTGTGTCCCAGCGGGAGCCTGGCGCCCCTCACCGCCAACCAGGTGCGGGCCGGGGGGAGCAGGGGAGGAAAGCCCCAGAGTTTTACACCTGCCGGAGCTGCGGGCTCGGACGCCCCTCCCCCAGCCGCACCGCGTCCGCGGGACTCTCTCCCCGCACCCGCCGCACGCGCCCCCCCCCGGGTCCTCGGCGCCGCCGGGGGGGGGGGGTGGAGGGAGGGCGCGGGGTCCGCCGAGACGCGCGCGGACGGATGCGCAGGGGGAGCCCGGGCGGGCGGCTCACCCCGCTTCCCGTGCCCCGCGCCCCGCGCCCGCTCGCCCCACGCCCGCTCACCCGGCGCCCCGCGCCCCGCACCCGCTCACCTCGCTCGCTGGCCTGGAGGAAGCGCACGATGTCCTCCAGGTCCAGGTCGTGGGCCTCGTCGAAGCTGTAGGCGGCCGTGTGCAGGCCCTGCTCCTGGAACACCTCGTGGACGCCCTCCAGGGTGAAGAAGCAGTTGCGCTCCAGCCGGTCGTCGCTGTAGAGCAGCGCGGCGCGGCGCCACTGGTGGTGGCGGAACAGCGCGAGCAGCATCTCGCCCATCTTGGCGTAGGCGGGCGCCACGCGCGTCAGGTGCGAGTACTCGGCGTCCTTGCGCTGGAAGCCGGCGGCCAGCGCGCCCGCCGACAGCATGGGCAGGTCCCAGTGCGCCGCCAGCCGCGCCACGGGCGCCGCCGCGTACTCGCACACCGGGCCCAGCAGCAGGTCGGGCCGGGCGCCGCGCGCCGCCGCCACGCGGTCCACCAGGCTGAAGAGCGCGCGGTTGCCGCAGCCCGAGTCCTCGTAGGCCACCTGGAAGCGCGAGCCCGGCGGCAGCAGCCGCGCGCCCGTGCCGTTGGCCTCCAGGCCGCGCAGCGCGTACTCGATGGCCGGCCGCACGCGGGCCAGCGAGAACGGGTACGCGTCGTCCCGCGGCAGCAGCACCAGCACCTCGATCGTCTGCGGCGCCGGCGGCGGCGGCTCTCTCCCCCGGCGCCTCTCGCCGCCGCCGCCCGCGCCGCCCAGCGCCGCCCAGCCGAGCAGGGCGCACGCGGAGAGGGCCAGCGCCCGCAGGGACGGCATGGTGCCCCGGCCGCGCCCGCCCGCCCGGCCGCCCGCGCCCCTCCGCGGCCCGCCCCTCTCCGCGCGCCCCGGCCCCGCGCCCCTCGGGCGGGCGCGGTCCGCGGACAAGACGCCCCTTCGCTGCCTCGCCAACAGACAGAGAGGAACAACAGTCCTTCTTGCAATGTCACTCGTTTAAAAAAAGAAGAAGAAGAAGAAGAAGTTCAGCGGGTGTAAACCTGCACGCCTGTCCCTATTTACACATACAGACTTATTATAAACATACATCCATAGTCGCCCTCCCTGTATAGACACTATGTTGCTTAGAGGTGGCCTCTACTTGGGCGTTGCTAAGGTGGCTGTTGAGAGCGTATTTGTAAAAGAAGAAGAAAGTTCGACTTGTCCGAGTGCTTGGAATGGACGGTGCGTGTCCCCCGCGTTTGATCTCATTGATTCGCGCCGGCGCCCGGGTCCATGGCCGGCGTTTAAGTAGCGAACGGCGTGGCCGCGGCGGGCGCGGGGCGCGGGGCCGGGCTTGTGCGGGCGGGGGCGGGGGCGGGGGCCGGGCCGGGCCCGGGCGCGCTCATTAGCATTCTGACATCAGGGCTCCTCCCCGCACCCCTCCTCTCCCACCCTCCGCCGTCCCTCACCCCGCTCCCCCGGAGCCCGGGGCCTCCCCTCGTTCCCTGGAGGCCGCCCACGCCCGCGCCCTGGGAGCCCGCACCGCGCCGCCCACCCCGCACCGCCTCTCCGGCCCCGCACGGCCCCCCAGCGCCCGGCTTTGCAAAGGGAAACGCTTCCCAAGTGCAGGATGCGCGCAGGCACCCCACGCCCTCCACGTGCAAAAACACAGGCTGGAGAAGGAGCGGTCCCGAAAGTGGTAGTTTCCGTGCAAAACGCCGTGGGTCCGACTCGCTCTCGCCTCTTTCCCCCCCTCCCCCGCTCCCTGACACCCTCCCTTCGCTGTCCCCGGGCCCAAGGCGAGGAAGCCGGGACCTGGGACCCTGAGCCGGAGGCTGGACCGCGGATCCCGGGGCGCCCCCTCCCCGCGCCCAGGACCCCTCCCCGGGCACCCCGGGCACCCCGGCCCCCTCCCCCGGCAGCGCCGGTCCCCCGGGTGGCGCGTGGCGGGATGCCCGGCCCCGCGCACAGACCCGCGGCGCGGAGCAGGACAGCCAGCCGTCACCCGCGAGCAGGAAAGCGAAACCTGTGGCTCCCAACGGCGAGCGAAGGGCCCGGCTTCTCGGGCGGCCAGGAGCCAGGGAAGCATCCTCGCGGCGCCCTCCGGGCTGGTGAGCTAGCCAGGTGACCGCACAGCGAACTCCGGGCTGGGCGTGACCAGGTGACCGCCCAGAGCCGTCCCCGGACCGTTACCCGGACCGTTACCCGCCGGTCCCGGTGCAGGCGCCCGCGCCGCGCCGCTCCGCCCCGAGCGCTGGGCGGTCCACGGCATCGCCTCCCGAGCGCGCCGGACGCTGTGCTCCGGGTCCTGCCGCGCCGGGCACGGTCCGCCTCGGACCCGCTCCGCCGCCGGTCTCGCCGGGGAGACGGGGCTGGGAGCGGCGCGGAGCCGCCCGTGGCCCGGAGGCACCCGGACCCTCCGCGCGGGGACCCGCTGAGGTGTGTGCCGTGTGGACGTGCGGCCTGGAACGGGAGGATTCCGGCACCCGAGCCCCGCGACTTAAAATCAAAGGGAAACGTTTGAACCGGCCTTGGGGTGCCGGCCGCGTCCCGCTGCACAGACTGCATTCGCCCGCGGCGCGCGCCCCCTGCCGGCAGGAGCTGGAGCCAGCTAGCGCTCCGCAGCCCGGATCCCGGCATCGCGGGTGGGTTTGTCCGCGTTCCTTTGTGCAAACATCCGGGCCCCGGAGAGCCATCGCCCACCTCTCCCTTGGGACCCTGGAAAGGCCAGTCGGAGCTCCCAGAGATGTGGCATCTTCGGGCACCGGCGCGCGCCACCGCTGGCAGCACCCTCCCCTCCCTCCAGGTCTTCCTGGGGCCCAGCACCTAAGGACGGGTGACTTTCCCCCTCTGGGTCACGCGCACGTCAGAGTCTGCACTGTGACCCCTGACGGAGGGGCTCCGACCCCTGGCGACCTCTCGTTCACTCCAGCAGGGCCCCTAAGCAGGAGCAAAAGAGGCGTCTGTCTGCACAAAACTGAAAACCAAAGCGCGGTCATGCCCACAGGATGGCCGTGGAGACTGAGAGCTTCGCGGCGATCAAACCCCCTAAGCTCCGGGGAGAGAGGCAGGGAGGCCAGCAGGAGGAGAGGGGGGGAGGAAGGAAATGGAGAAGGAAAGAAGGAAGGAAGGAAAGGAAGGAAGGAAGGAAGGAAGGAAGGAAGGAAGGAAGGGAGAAGGAAGGGAGGGAGGGAGGGAGGGAGGGAGGGAGGGAGGGAGGGAGGGAGGGAGGGAGGGAGGGAGGGAGGGAGGGAGGGAGGGAGAACAATGGCTACATCCAAGGGGTTTTATGGATTCCCAAATTGGTTGCCAGGAACCAGGGTGTCCTGTTACCGCCGGCTGTGCCCTGGGTCTGGGGAAGGCGGCCAGTGGCCACAGGGCTCTGCAGGCTGGGGAGCCTGGGGTTTCACTGACACTAGGAGGGTGCATGCCTCTCCCCACCCCCACCCCCATAACCTCTCCCCCCTCCTCCAGGCGCTGCCTGCGTCCAAGGTCAAGCGCAGGGCAGGGGGTGTGGGCACGGAGTGTGGGCAGAGTGAGCCCGGTCCTGCTGGCCTCGGGATTGGAGCCCTCAGCTTCCAGCTGGCCCCTCCAGAGCACCAGGCCCCGGGGAGCCCCCACCTGGACGGCAGAACCAGCAGAGCCAGGGCCACTGCTCTCGCGGACGCTCAAAGCACCCAAAGGGCAGAAATGATGATTTTTTTCCCCCAAAAGGGGGGAGAGGGGTTCCAATGAAAACAGGCCATAGGAATACCCACCCAGTGGTATAAGTACACAGTTTAATTTCATGCGCTCGTTTACTTCCCACCAAACTGGACTTTTCCCACGCAGCGGACGGCTGTGTGAACACTGAGTTCTCCCCTCCTAAGGCTGGAAAGCCTTTGGGGCCTGAAGGATATCCACGGCCTGTTCAGTACTCTCACCCCCGAGAGCAGTTCCGTGTGGACCTGGGTTAGCGATAAAGCGTGTCCCACCTTAGGCACTGGGTCAGAGGGACAGAGCTGACTTCCACTTTCAGTGATAACATCCTTTATATCAAAAACTTACTTTGAGTGACGTTTTGAGAACATACAGCACCGTAAGATTACTAATATTTTTATAATGGGCTTTTTGCAACATTATAAGCGTGAAGATAAATTAAACTCAGAAAGAAGGGGGAAATGCTTAAATAACTTGTCCCTTAGGTTCAACTTTTAAATATTATCCCTTTCCAATCTGTAAAATACTGAAATGGGAGGCGGGGGGAGGGAGGAAACCACTTTTTTAACTCTCTAAGAATTGTTCCCCTGTTCCCTGAATGAATTCTTTCAGGCTACAATTGTTGAATAAAAACTGAAGAAAGTTACAGGGGAACACTGCAAAATAAAATAAAATTACCCACCCCCAAAAAAAATTTTTAAAAAACAACCACCTGGGGAAATATTTGTAACCCACAGTATTGAAAGGGGCTAATTTTAGTTACAGATAGAGAAACTATTTTTAACGTTTGATAAAATTTAGTTTGGGGACCGTGTGAGTAAACACATTACTACTTCTTTAAAAAAGAAAAGAAAAAGAAAGAAAAGGAACCCTTAAAAACAATGTTAGCCCTACACCTGATGTGACAGACACTAACGCTTTTTTATAGGCTTTGGAGGTGTTTTCATCAATAACCACAAACCATATCTTTTAGCTTTTACGTTGCTAAATGCGGTGGCACGTTTTCTGTACAATATCCCACTGCTTGTTTCTCACTCTGTGGGATAACCGCTGGCCGGCAGACAGCGTTCCAGGGAGACCTTAGCAGGCGGGTCTTTGTTAGAAATGCCATCGGAGCGCCTTCTTCACCAATTGTCGTCCGTCTGACCTTGTCCCCCAAATCCTGGAGGCGCCCTCCAAAGTGGGCAGGAGCCCTTCCACATTGTCCCAGAGCTCTCCCTCCTGCCAGCCACCCCTGCAGGCACACCGCAGCCCCCACAGAAAGCCCTTCCGCAGCGGAATTGTTGAAAACACACTCCCCCCTAGAGGCGGAACGGGTGAAACAATATTGCACAGAATTCCAGAACCTGCGTGTGCTGTAGGGAGGGCTGAGGGCGTCTTTTTCCCAGGCAGTGGGTGGTTTTGAGGGAACATTCAAGATGTGGGAGGAAACTGGATGAAAAAAATTAAAACTTCGGCTCTAGGTCTTAGCGTTCCTTAGCAGGCACTCTGTTCATTGCCCCATCGTTTGGTTTGGTTTTAATACAAATCTCAGATTTTTATTTTATTTTATTTTATTTTGCCAGCACTAAAAATAATAGTGATCACGTGTTGTTGTTTTTTCTACTTAAATTTATGATTCAGTTTCATCGGGAACTGCAGTCAAATGCAACCTTGAAGGACGCTTTTGAAAACATGGCCCTGATGGGTCCCATCTGTTTGGGTATCACTGTCCTCGTAACTCTCCATCAGCCAGTCTTACTGTCACTTCCTTGGAGGTGCTCCGAGACCAGGTGACATGAGAAGGACTTCCGGGAACACAGAGCCGGCCTGTGCTTTAACCTGAGCATCAGAGTGAGCTTTCTCAGATTTGCAAGCCGCACGAAGAATCCCCCGTCGCTGGCTGATGGGCACATTGTTTAACGTAGGTTATTACAGCCACAAAAACAGGGGAGCGGCCTCAACTTCACGCACACCAGTATTGACAACATGTATTATAGTTGGTTTATTCAGTCGTACCCTGCATTATTCCAGAAAGGGTTTGGAGACACACACTTAAGAAGAAATGCTAGACAATTCCCCTCAGGCCAAATGCACAGCCAGAGTCCGACCCTCTTGGGCCCATGCTGTTCCCCGGGCCCTTACTGAGACTCCGGAGCCTC